CCTAGATTTTCCGAAATCGCGCGTGTACACGAGCGATTCCAGTGTTATTTTGCCACGGTAGCAATATTCCATTTAATGAATAATTTGTTATTAGGATACACACACATGTGCGGTAACAATTTTGCGGTTGCGGTAATAATTTCGCGGTTTTGTGCTAATAAAATTGCGAGAAAGATTCTGTTATATCGGAATGCGCTATTTAAAAAGAAATTCGCGCTTTTTTAATGCCATCTCAAAAAATTTTATTCTTCTTACATACAACCGACAGACGTACGTCCGGGTGTCGCACACATGTCTGTCTCGTGTTTTCCACGTAATCCATGACACCGTAATAAGTTGCACGTGCTGCATATGGAATATTACACATTTGTATACATTCGCAACACACAGTGTGAGCAGAAAAATAATCACGGTTTTCTAGGAGCGAGAACACGTAGGTTGGCACTTTCGGAGGCACAATCTTGGTGTTTGCCTCGTCGACTCCGCGTGTTCGGAATTCTCGTCAGAGACATACGCCGATGTATCCTGACATTTTTTCTCCTGAAACATAATCCAATTTTCCACGAGACGAGACTACGACGCGTAGGCAAAAGTTACGTATGATAATATTATAATACTTAGTGTTGAAGTGTAGTTTAAGATTATTATTCTCTCTGGTTTCTCTCTCTCTCTCTCTCTCTCTCTCTCTTTTTCTCATCAAACTAAAATTAGGCAATGCGTTCTATCTTATGCGTTCCCTTCTATATGTGCAAAGACCGCGCATGGAATTGGGATTTTGATAAGGACGGCTCATAAATTTGTGAATTATCCGACATCAAGAAGCGCGCCACCGCGGGGCAAGGAAAGTGCAGCAATACGCGATTGCAAGGTTGGATTTTCGAATGTGAAACCACATACACACACGCGCGCACGCTTCGTCTTCGCGAAGTGGTTCCTTATCGCAAAGTTTAGGGCGTTGACGTTGATACGGCGGAGGTTGAACGCGAGAGGGCAGGCAAGCGACTGTTCCCCATTGCTTCGGCTCTCTCTCTCTCTCTCTCTCTCTCTCTCTCTCTGTCTCTCTCATCTCTTAATCTGTTTAATCTGCCTAATCCGCTCCATACCGATTCCGCTCGCTGGCGCGAATGTAGCCCCTTTATCTGCGGCACTCGACGATAGTAATTCATGCGTTACCAGCGGTAACCAGCCCCCTGAGCACGATCGCGAGTTTCCCGAGGGAAGATTCGGGTACATCCCGCGATTCGGATGCTATTTTTCAACGAGAGAATTAGCATGCGTCATGCCCGATGAATATTATAATGCTCGAATTAAACTAATTTTCATGAATTAAATTACGAGTTTATGGAATAGCACTATTGCGCGAATATTCCAAGGTAAAAATTGTTTTGAAAAAACAATAACACAATAATAATTTATATTTGTTATTTCCGGAAATGTGTGTAAAATAATATCAACAAATTTTATTGTCAGTTTTACAATATAAATTGTTTCACAAATTTGTAATAAATAATAAATGTCGTTGCGCAATTAAGTTTAATTTGAACATAGCGAGAAATATGAATTTGTGAGTAATAGTGGAGAGAAATACTTTCGGCGCGCAAAACTAATCAGTTTTCTAATATTTTCGCCGATGTAAAATTGATTCACGGACGCGCCATTTTCGCGTCGATTTAGCTAATTTCGCAATAGCTAGACCGCCTGTAGACCTCAATTTATCCATATCCGGTGGCTCACACTCCAGCACGTCCGCGCAAGCAAGCCTCAGGAGACACTAATTATCCTCACACGAACGACCGTACTCGAGAATAATTAACACTTCGCGCGCGCATTAGCCGCCCGTAAAATTGCGCGCGCGAGGTCAACATTAACAATTGATGATCGACCAGAATAAATATTGGCCGTCTGCAAACGTTGGCCGGTTTCCATCCGAGCAGATAACTCCGTGTTTAAGAAGTAAACATTATCCCGCGATGGAGGTGTAGCTGTCCCGATAACACACCGCCGGAAGAAAAAGAAGTATCATTAGATAATTTAACTTCTTCTGGAAAAAATTGAGAGAGCATTATACTTTTTTACGTGTTGCCATTTTAACTTCGTTCATAAAACTGTCCGAATGACACTATCGTGTTTATTAGAGTTTAGTATAAGATTTACTCTCCGCTACACGCAACTTTTTTGTGTGAAAAATTCAACACGAATAAATAACCAACTGGTTTAGAGTTTTTTTTATATTAGTAAGTTACAAAGTCACTTGAGAATTAATCCGAAATTGTTCTATGTTGCGATTCGTATAATTGGATCAGTACGCACTTTTGGGGGAGGGAAAGAATTTATAATCTTAAATCTGTTTATACTTTTTAATTAGATTTCTCTTTCCTGTTTTCCTTCCTTCTATGGGATTAATTATGTTGATGTTTTTTTTCAAACAGTAGAGTGCGCGTCACAAATTTGATTTTTGCAATGCGCTTCTAACGACGAAATAAAATCGTTTTACATATGCACATTATAAAGTTCGTTCTGTCTTTCACAAGAGGTTCTCACCTACACTGAACTTATTTATCATGGATTATTAAATTACACGCTAAATTATTGTAATTTATAAACTGAATAACGATGGTTATCGCGACGTGGTTCAATGTTGAATGAACATATGATTCGATTATTCTAAGTTCTCCAATTTATACGTGCTTTTTATTGTTGGAAGCTCTTCAGCAGTCAAGTGGCGTAAACAAACGTCCTCGAATTTCGCGAAGCCGGACACTTTGGGGTGATAATGGGCGCGTTGTTGTACGAAATGGGCATTACATTAGGCGGTCTGATTTTCAGTTTAATGGAGTTCCGGAAGCGTGAAGTTTAATGGAAACAGCGGGGTCGCGAGCACAGTTGCGAGTAACTCTCCTTCTCGATGGGGCTGAAACTGGCTCTTGATAGCTACTCGTGAAAACACGTTGGGAGCGAAATAAAATGACGCGTATATTACACGCGACCGTGTAAATTTTACATTTTACACGCCAAAAAATACGAACAAGCGAGGAAAAAAAACTGTATGCGCGGCAAAGCACCTTGTGACGCGAATGTTTTTTTTCAAATAAAATCCCCATTTATTTACATTATCTCCACTAGTGCCATTAAGTACAGCTTACTATCAGAGATATGTACGCATACTCGAACACATACATACGTGGATCGAACAAGTAATTAAAATTAAACATGCAATTACTAAAATTAAAGATGAAAATAATGAAGAAAACAAATTTGCTTTGGAAAAAAGCGTATCTATAAAATTTTACTATTCGGCTGTTTCGGGATCGCTTCCTGTTTGTTAGAAATTTGTCGCGAATTTGTCGGAACGATTTACGCAAGTAATTACGCAATCATAATCAGGAAAAAGTAATCGACAAGATTGACGAGAGGAAGCAAGAGAAAACGAGCTGGTACGAGAAGGTATATCGGATTAGCGACGAAAGTTTGGTAATTAAGTGGTAAGTGAGGCCGGGGGAGGAATTTAGTAGGCACTCGGTCCCTTATGGAAAAGCGCAAGTGGAAGCGACACGAGTCAAAGGCAGGTCGGAAGCAAAGAGGGCGGATGACATAGAAGATGGGATGGACCGTAGGTAGAGATAATTAGCGAGTTAATACGAGTCGTTGCCTCTCAAACTTTGTTACCGCAAGTACCACGTGTCGTCGCGCGGTTGGAAAGAAAATCTTGAAAAAATATTTGAAAAAAATTTAGCTACACGAAATTTTTCACCCGAACAACGACTTTATCGCGCGTTCTCTTTTATAATTTACGATAAAAATATTTCTAAATATTTGGTCGAATATTGAATTTTAACGAGTTGCGAGAGTAAGAGATTTACGTAAGAGACATCGTCAGATCTTGAGATATAAATTTTCGAAATATTTCACGTACATAATCCGTGGCGAAAAGAACTGGATTCGAGATATCAGTTCGGCAATAAGATGGAAAATACTTCACGAGAATAGACTCGATGTATAAAAACGAAGGTGGAGGAAGGAACTTGCTTGCGTAGCAAGCGGGAAACAAATATTTACGCAGAGAGCCGAGTCGTCTCTTCTTTTACGTCGGAAATATATTTAATATTAACGACAATGAAAAGAGAGAACGGGGATAAGAAAGGGTAATTGAGGGATAGAAAGTCCCGGCAACGCTTTTTTTTAAAACAAAGTCACACAAATCGAAAATATTGGCGTGTGTATTTCGTATGAATATTTGATTTGTTCCATCAATCAACTTGTCCGCTCTTCTGTTTGTAAATCCCAATGCAAACACGTAATTTTAATGTTGCGCCGCTTATCCCCGCTATTAAAAAATTGGCAAATAATGGTGAGTCCTCTGCTTCGCGTTTATCGATTCGTCTTGCGTAAAAAACAACTTAGATTGGTTAAACACAGCGAACGCAATTAATCAGTTTTATGCTGAAACTGATATTGTCAGCGCGCGTTTATTACGCGGTGTATCAATACCGGGGAAATAATTTAATGGAGAACGCTATTACATCGGAACCCCGGCGATGTTCTTTTAATAGTGCTGCTACGCGTTACACGGCTATTTTACCGGAACGACAAAAGAGCTCTCGTGCAATCGGGGATATTAAATGCATAAAAGGGACGAGATAATATCGAACCATCAAAAAGAGACAGGTAATATAATTTATATGCGCGTCTAATTTAAAAATAAAAAAAATAAAAAAAATAAAACTAAAAGAACTGAAACACAGTTAATTGATAATAAAATCCATTTATTTTATTGCTTTGTAACAATTCCGCGATGGAAATGGAAAATTTTCCGTTTTACGCCATTTTCAGACATTTATATTTATTTATTTACAAAAATTAATGTTTATATAAGACAAATTCAAAAATTTCATTTCTATTGCGATTTTCTAATTACTGTCTTACGCAAGTGAGCGAATTAACGCGGAGAAGTGATACACAGAGAGCTGCAGCTCTCGCACGTGCGAGATGTACATACGCACCTTGGTAAATGTGAGGGTAGCTATCGGTGGTAGACGAGGTAGATTCGGATAATAGAAGCTTCCCGCGGGATGCGCCGGATATCGGGATGTGATCCTGTAAGCGATTCCTTGGGGCTGCGTCGGCCAGTTGGCAGCCGTGAATGTAAAGCCGTTATCCGTACCGCCATCCAGTGGGTCGAGCTGTTAAAAAGAGAACACAACAGAAGGTGGTTTAAACGGGCGCGTTTTCTCTCTCCGAGCGGATTCGCGAATTTTAACGGAGGAATGACAGAGGAGGGGGAAGAATGCGGAGAGCAATTTGCGAAGGTAAATGCATAAATTATGCTTCGCGGCTGATGCTCGCGGATGACGTCTCTGAATTTGCGAAAACTGATACAAACGCGATTCACATTTTACGCGCACGCCCCATCGCTCAAGATATTCGAGACATTCTATGTCCGCTTTGATATTTATAAAAATTTATCGATATATTTTATATTATATTTATTTTAAATAGAAAAAATGCAGGTTTGCATTGCGCAACTTTATTTTATCTTAATTCTATTTTAATCTCATCTGTCACGAGAGCGCGCACGCGCGCGGTTTTGCACGATCGTATTGACACATTGATTTCCGTGCGCGTTACTGCCAAATGTAATTACCTCCACGGTGACGGTATCGACCCAATTGCCTTCGACGCACAGTTGGAAGGAATCCACCCCTACAAACCAATCGGGGCTGGGATTGATGCGCGCCATAATGCTAATCAGAGTGTGATTGCCGTCGAGGAAGGCCCGAGTGATGCTCGTGCCCTCGCCCTGAGGGATCGGCGGGCCGGTGAAAGAATGCAGACTATTGGGCGAATCTCCGTCCGCGTCCAGTCCGTCGGCTCTGCCGGTCTCCACGTAAAGTCTGGCCCCCGTGGACAGCCGTTCGCCCAATCTGTACAGAGTGTAAGTCGAGTCGTGCGTCCGACCTGCAACACAAAACCGACCTCGTTTATTTATTTATTTACTTAGCGTGTGAATTGAGCACACTTCACGGTAGTTTTTCGCGTTAGAGACGACAATTATACCGTTGCGTAATCATTTATATCTAAGCCGCGACGAAACAAGCACCGGCAATGCAAATGCGCTTAACGATCAATTACTCCTGCCAAGTAGCCCGATTCCGGAAAACGTTCCGTCGCTCGTCCCGCTTTCGTTTGCGGGTCCGCGCTAAATAGCGCGCGTTCAAGGCGCTTCGTTAGCGGCGATTCGCTCCTTTTGTAGTCGCGAGCAGCCGCGGAAGACGGAAGAAGACATCTCCCCGAGATAGCCGAATTAATGCTGAGAGGGAGAGAGAAGAGCGCTGAATTTATAGTCAATTAATGCACCACTCGAGACTCGTTATTCGCCATCCCGGAAATAATGCGCCACCCCTAAGGGATACGTCCGCGTGTACATGCATATATATGTGGGTGTGTGTTAGAAATCATAACGCACAAGAGATAACGATAGTATATATTTCGTAACTACTATTGACATACATACACAAAAGTCATTCGCAGGTTTATTTTTTGAAATATACCAAAGCTTCTATAAAAAAAATAGCAACAGTTACGATTTGGATTTCCACGTAGAAATCGTCTCTTTGTCAGTCACTCCACGATTTTCGATATACCTTTTACATACACGTGCCGGGAGGGTCTACAATTGCAATACTGAAAAATCCCTCGGACGCGATCCTTCACGGCGCGACCCTTCGACTCGCCGTGTCTCGTCGGTTTCACCCCGCGCCTGCATTCATCGTCACGCGCGATTTAACGATCGATCGGCAGCGAATAAACGACGGACGCGGGGCAGGATTCCGCGTCTCTGAAAAACTAACGTCGCGCTCCAGACGGGATTGTGGCCTGGGTATTGTGCAGCTCTCGTCCGTTCGTTTCTCTTTCCTTCTTCCATCCGCATCGGTTCTTTTTTTTTATCATGGATCCGCGGAATTTTAACCACGACTCGGGCAAAACACCCGACGCAATTAAACGTCACACGTCGCAAACTCTCGGAAATCTTGGGGAGAGTTTTTTTATCGTATCTCTTTTTCGAACGCGACAATAACATCACATTTGTATATTTGCAGGTAAAACACACAATGTTTAATCAATCGAGTCTTAGTATAAATTTGTTTAATAATTCTCTCTTGGTGTAAAAAAATTTAAAACAATTAAAATACTTTATCTTACCAGAAAAAGCGGATGTAAATAATCACAATCTATTCTCTCGATATTGATTGTTGCCACTTTTATCTCGACGCTGATTAGACGTTTCTAGGATGTGTTGCTCGATTTATGTCGTACATATCAAGACGCACGGTATATACCAATATATAAAAAATTTTCTTTTTTACTCTGTTTCTTGTCACGTGACCGTACTTTAGTCACGTTTTTAAAGACACGTGACTTTAGTCACGTGTTGTTTTTTACTCTTTCCTCTCACTATTTTTCGAGTTTGTTTTTCATGTGTTATTTCTGACATCTCTCATATATGTATAACCTTTTGTTAAAGGTCATTGACTTTTCGTTAAAGGTCACTGACCTTTCGTCAAAAGTCATTGACCTTTTATATGGTTTGTAAGATGTATATATACTAGCTGTCATCACGGTAACAGGTTGTGTTTACTGACATAACACGTTAAAATAAAAATAATAAGAGCGTGCGCGTAGCACGCGCCTATGTAGTGCTAGTTTTTACAAAAACTTGGATTGAAAATCGGAGTTCTATACATGGATCGCTCGTTACAATTCAATAATTGCGCGCAGCGTTGTGCGAGCTTTCGGAAATGCACATCGATTCCGATTGTATTTTTAATGCGTTTGGATATTCGGTAAAATATTACGCGCCATGCGGTTTCTCATTCCCGCGAACAAACCTGAAATGTAGCCTTTCAAAGGGATCGAAATAGTTCCCGTGCCGGTGGTGCACGCCGCAGTGGTCGCGTCGAGTTCGAGAAGGATGAGACGTAATTAGTTACGAAATTAGTGGAAACCGCGAGGGGTATGGACTCTGCGTGCGTTGGCAGACTTTATGCAAAGTCTAGAACAGTCTGTTTCGCTGCAATTTCTGTAGAAAATCGAAATTTCTACATCGATCGCGGCTGAAAATCGTTTCGACATCGAAAAGAAACGCGAATTCATTAGCGAAATTATTTATTATATTTTATACAATATCCCTCCCTAAAAGAAATAAATTTTTACAGTCAGACATGTATTATAATAATAATTTTATCGGAGAAATAATGTTGTGTAACACATAAGTTTTCAAATTAATTATGCACTTGTGTAAAATTTGTATATTTTTTGCAGAACAATATATCAAGTTCAATTTTCGCGCTTCGTTATATGTAATGGGTTACGACACTTCTATTTTAACGACGACGGTAATTGTATTTCTCAAACAAGAGGAAAATATGTTTCCTGAATTCGTGTCGTGTATCTTTTTCGTTCTCAGTTAATTCCTAATTAATCCGTCTTCGCAGCGCGAGCTAATCCGGACTTGGCCAAAATATCATGCTGTTTCTCTCTCTCTCTCTCTCTCTCTCTCTTTCGCGAAAGTAAGCTGAAAACGCCATTAGAGTCGACTCGCGGGTTAAATTGGCGTCGTTAATTAGATTAATTAGTATCGACCCGTCTCTCGCAGCCGCGCTCCAATCTGATCCCCGTCTGTCTTGCGGCGTCTTACGCCTCAGCGTCTTATACAATCGCTCGCCCCGGGGCCGCGAGCAGAATTTATGAATGAATATTATTCCCGTCTCTTTGAGACTCTATCTGTCTCTAACCGGTCGGTAATTTTATCAGGACTTAAATAGACGTTGATTCCATCCCGCAAATTACATTCGCAAACAGTGGCGTTTTATTAATTCCGCTCGTTACCAGCAGCTAAGTCGGAGCGGGAGCCTCTTTTCACCGGGCACTTCGTTCTCTTACGTGACCTTGTATTAATGATCGCTATTCAGGGAAATGTTCCAGGGGTTGTGTCTGCTTTATGTTCCGCGCGGATTACAGAAATAAAAGATAAGAGAAAAGGGAGAACGCGTGGATATAAATGTAAGATAGCGTTTCATAAAATTTGAGGAAGCGCGGAAGCTCGAGATCGGGAGTAAGCGGAAAAATAAAACTGCGAAACAAATGTGGCGCTTTGAGTTGACGTGTGCGAGTTGGTTCCCTTCGATTTTCGAATGTGTCTTCGTTCTCCCGACACACGTCGTGAGAAATAAACGTCGTGTGAATTGCCAACGCGGATACAAATCGGCGAATTTCATTCCGACGGTCAACTTGAACGGTTTTATTTATACATTTTCACCGACAATCGCACATGCAAGTCTTACGCGATTCACGACAGTTTTCCGTCGAAGAGGAAGGGAGAACGCGCGATAAGAAACTGATCATTGAGAGATACATTATATAGGAACCAAGCGGAGCAAGCTTCCGCTGTCGATACAGATATCGCGGATTTGCACGTGAGTCTTCTCTTGGCGGAATAAATAAGAAATTCGATTCGATCGACCAAGCGGAACTGTGCACCTCCGCCATTCATTTTCTTTCTTTCTTTTTTTCTTCCTCTCCCGCGACATATTCCCGAACGGTAAGAACGAGAAGGGGTCTCTGGTAAACCCGGAAACGAAGATTGACGACACAAGTGAATGTGGGCTCGCGGTCCCATTCGCGAAATTCAATGTCGCCGAATTTAAACTTCTGATTGAAATCAATTCGACTAATGATCGTCGCGATTTATCTTGTCAACGAGTTTCGCGCAAGTAGTCGCTTTCTTTCGCTACAATTGTGTCTTTGAAACTTCTCTTGTATCTAACGTGTTAAGATTTTGTAGGCTGTTGTAGAAGAATACATGATAAAAATTAAATAATTAATTAAATAATTTATTGGATGAAACGTTGTAATCGCGTTTTTCCGAAAAATCACTCGTCTACAGACTTTAAACGTGCATTTCGCTCTGCTTTCGAATTTCGGGCCGGCGGCACTATATCAAAGCTCGTATCTTAAAGCGGTCGAATTCCTGATGAACAAGGGGGATAAGAACAATGCGGGCACGGGGGATAGGACCTTTTGGATTGGCTCGTGGCGCTTCATTCAACAAAATCGACCAGGCCGTAATTGAAATGCGAACAAAGCTCGCTCGTGACAATGCGCGACCTTTAATTAGTGCCGCGGCCGAAGAACGCGCCACCGATGAGGGCGAGGGTGAGTCCTCTGCTCGTCGAACGACGAACTTATCCGTTTCCGTGAGTTCGGCAAGCGCTTAGAGCAAACAAGCGTGATTTGACAAATTGCTCGCGCGAACGCGCCTCGGAGGGAAGAGAGCGAGGGGTCGTTTATTTCGTCGGGCTGAAGAATGAACGTCTTCGTCGGCATCGAGATTGATAAATTTCGCGGATCGTCGTCGAGCAACCAGAAGGGGGTAGAAGTCGGATTGATAGTTGCAGGGAAGATAGTCGACGAGGGAGAGAGGAGGTCGAAGCGAGTTTCGAGCCGACTGTAATGTTTTCAGTTCCTTCGACCGAGGAAAAGTCCGGATTATACTCCGGATGAAAATCCGAGCAAAGAGAAGAAGACGTTTCCCCGCCGCTTCCGCCGGGCGGCGGTTCTTTGTTCGTCTTCATCTTCCCCGGAATTGGCGTCTGAAACAACTTTTCAACTTTCCCCGAAAGATAGAAAAAGAGAAAGAAAGAGAAAGGAAGAGAGAAAGAGAGAGAGAGAGAGAGAGAGAGAGAGAGAGAGAGAAGTGATCGCGCGGTCGGAGTTAGAAGAGAAATTCCGTCAGACTGGTAGCAGCGAGAGGTTACTGTATGTATTCGGGATTTGATCCACGCGAAACTCGATTCTAGATGGCACCCTCTTGAACGTGTAGATTACAAGAAACTGAGGTCTGACTGAGGTCTGACTGAGTCTCAACGATGCAACGTATGCCGCAATATATTAACACA